AAAATGTATGCACTAACTGTAAGTCGCTCTGGATAAGAGCGTCTGCTAAATGACAAAACATTTAAAAATTTACTTGTTTGGTAAGAAGTGTTGACATGCTGAATGCACCGAGGTGTCTGTTTAAACTACTAGCACACAGCTTGGACACCCATGCATACCCCACAAGACATGTCACCAAAGGTCTCTTCACAATCCCTAAGTCAAGAACAGACTATGGGAGGTGCACAGTACTACATAGAGCCATGGCTACATGGAACTCTATTCAACATCAGGTAACTGATGCAAGCAGTAGAATCAGATTTAAAAACCAGATAAAAATACACCTTATGGAATAGCGGGGACTGTGAAGAGACACACACACATGATAAGACACACACTCTACACACATGTAGACATGGATGTTGTATTGTAAATATGTGATAGTGGAGTAGTGGCCTGAGGGAACACACTGAATGTATTGGGTAAATTGTTATGAAATGTAATGAGCTCTGAATATGAAGATCCCAATTTTAACTCTGTCTCCCTCTCTCTCTTTGTCTCTCTCTCCCCCACAGCCCACACGCACAGGCACACAATATAGTTTTTACATTAGTGTTGTAATGATTCTCTTATTTGGTTACATACACTACCAGTCAAAGGTTTTAGAACACCTACTCATTCAAGGGTTTTTCTTTATTTTTACTATTTTCTACATTGTAGAATAATAGTGAAGACATCAAAACTATGAAATAACACATATGGAATCATGTAGTAACCAAAAAAGTGTTAAACAAATCAACATATATTTTATATTTGAGATTCTTCAAATAGCCACCCTTTGCCTTGATGACAGCTTTGCACACTATTTGCATTCTCTCAACCATGATGTAGTCACCTGGAATGCATTTCAATTAATTGGTGTGCCTTCTTAAAAGTTAATTTGTGGAATTTCTTTCCTTCTTAATGCGTTTAAACCAATCAGTTGTGTTGTGACAAGGTAGGGGGGTTATACAGAAGATAGCCCTATTTGGTAAAAGACCAAGTCTATATTATGGCAAGAACAGTTCAAATAAGCAAAGAGAAACCACAGTCCATCATTACTTTAAGAAATGAAGGTCAGTCAATCTGGAATATTTCAAGAACTTTGAAAGTTTCTTCAAGTGCAGTCGCAAAAACCATAATGCGCTATGATGAAACTGGCTCTCATGAGGACCGTGTCTTCACTGACATTTTCAACCTATCCCTGAACCCGTCTGTAATACCAACTGGTTTCAAGCAGACCACCATAGTCCCCGTGCCGAAGAACGCCAAGGTAACCTGCCTAAATGACTATCGCCCCGTAGAATTCACATCTATAGCCATGAAATGCTTTGAAAGGCTGGTCATGGCTCAATTCAACACCATCATCTCTGACACCCTGGACCCACTCCAATTTGAATACCGCCCCAACAGATCCACAGATTATGCAATCTCTATTGCACTCCACGCTGCCCTCACCCACCTGGACAAAAGGTAAGAATGCTGTTAATTGACTACAGCTCAGCATTCAACACCGTAGTCCCCTCCAAGCTCATCACCAAGCTCAGGAACGACAGCACCTCATCCCCCTCAGGTGACTGAAGAAATATGTCCATGGGCAATCAGATCCTCAACAAGTTCTACAGCTGCATCATTGAGAGCATCTTGACTGGCTGCATGACAGCTTTATACGGCAACTTCAAGGCACCCGACTGCAAGGCGCTACAGAGGGTGGTGAGTACGGCCCAGTACATCACTGGGGCCAAGCACCCTGCCATCCAGGACCTCTATACCAGGCAGTGTCAGAGGAAGGCCCAAAAACTTTTCAAAGACTCCAGCCACGTAAGCCATAGACTGTTCTCTCTTTTGCCGCACGGCAAGTGTTACCAGTGCACTAAGTCTGAAACCAACAGGACCCTAAAAAGCTACCCCCAAGCCATACGACTGATAAAGAAGACTGCTAAATACCTAATCAAATGGCTACCCGGATTACCTGCATTGACAATTTTTTGCACTAACTCTCTTGCACTGACTTTATGCACACACACTGGACTCCACCCACACACTCACACATGCTTACACTGATACCCCAACACACACATACACACACACATAACATGCGCAGACATGCATACTGACGCCATACACACATTCACACACACTTTCACACTCACCACATACGCTGCTGCTACTGTCTTATCTATCCTGTTGCCTAGTAACTTGACCCCTACCTATATGTACATAGCTACCTCAATTACCTGGTACCCCTGCACATCGACTCCGTACTGCTACTCCATGTATATAGCCATGCTATTTTTACTTGTTATTGTTTTTCACTGTGTAATTCTTCTTGTGTCACTATTTCTATTTTGTTTTTATCTTTAACTCTGCATTGTTGGAAAAGGATCCGTAAGTAAGCATTTCACGGTTAGTCTACACCTGTTGCTTACAAAGCATGACAAATTAAATTAAATGTTATTTGAAAGAAACTGACTGTCTACACCAGGGGTGTCAAACTCATTTTAGCTCAGGGGCCACATGGAGGAAAATCTATTCCCAAGTGGGCCGGACCGGAAAAATCATGGTATATATAACTTAAAAACAACAACTTCAGATTGTTTTCTTTGTTTTAATACGATCAACATACAACATAAAGCTGGAGCCTGAGGACAGTGTGTCCAAAATAGTACAAGCACAACATCACTATTAATCATAAAACACGTCAAGTTTATTTGAAAATTCTAAAGAAAAAGAACACAAACACACAATGCCTCAGTGATTAACATAACTGTTTCACAGATCACAGAACTATATCAGGGTGTCATTTCTCAGGCAGAAATGTAGATAAAAATAATGAAATCCTGTTCCGCAAACAAGTGCAAGAACCACAGAGTCAAGAATAGGTTAAATATACAAATAAAATAAAATCAATTAAAAACAATAGCACATCAACATAAAAACATATAAACATAAAGCTGGAGCCTGAGGACAGTGTCCAAAAGCACAACATCACTATTAATCATAAAACACCTCAAGTTATTTGAAAGTTCTGAGGACAAAGAACACACAAACACACAATGCCTCAGTGATTCACAGAAGTATATCACAGATCACAGAACTATATCAGGGTGTCATTTCTCAGGCAGAAATGTAGATAAAAATAATGAAATCCTGTTCCCCAAACAAGTGCAAGAACCACAGAGTCAAGAATAGGTTAAATATACAAATAAAATAAAAACAATTAAAAACAATAGCACATCAACATAAAAACATAAATCTGAAAGCGTTGCTCAAACTCCCGTAACGGTCCCGTTATTTTATCTTTGAACCGCTTCATGTCTGCCACATGTTGGGTCGCGCACACATTTTTCAGACAGGGGAAGTGAGCTGCATCACCACCAGCAAGTTGCGTCTCCCACAATGACAGCTTCAACTTGAAAGAACGTATGCTGTCATAATACTGCGTGACAACTTTGTTGCGCCCTTGCAGCTGTTTGTTCAAGTTATTCAGGTGCTCTGTAACATCCACCATAAATGCAAGGTCCGGCATCCATTCTGCGGAATGAAATTCTAACACTGGTTTGCCCTTTTCTTCCATGAACTGTTCAATTTCTTCTCGTAAATCAAAGAAACGCCTCAGCACAGCACCTCGGCTTAACCATCTTACCTCAGTGTGGTATGGCAGGCCACAGATGTGGTCTTTCTCTCTGAGAAGGCTGTCAAACTGACAGTGATTCAGGCTTCTGGATCGGATGAAATTAACAGTTTGGATGACCACCTTCATGACGTTATCCATCTTTAATGACTTGCAACACAAAGCCTCCTGGTGCAAAATACAGTCAAAAGTCAAAAAATCACGTCCCTCATTTGCAGATTGCACTTTCTCTCTGAACTTTGTCACAACGCCTGCTTTTTTCCCGATCATTGAGGGCGCACCATCTGTAGCCAGGCTGACAGCGCGGGACCAGTCCACTCCGACCCTGTCCAGCGTGCCGACGAGTGCGAAAAAATATCAGCTGCCGTCGTTGTATCTGTCATCGGCACCAACTCCACGAACTCCTCGGTGACGGTCAATGTGTCATCAACTCCGCGGATGAAAAAATTGCCAGTTGTGCAACATCTGTAATGTCCGTGCTTTCATCAATTGCAACCGAAAACGCAATAAATGACTTTACTTTTTGCTTCAACTGGCTGTCCAAATCCACTGAAAGATCGAAAATCCTGTCTGCAACTGTGTTTCTTGTCAGGCTGATATTTGCAAAAGCCTGCCGCTTTTCAGGGCACACAATCTCCGCTGCCTTCATCATGCATGTTTTTACAAATTCACCCTCACTAAATGGTTTTGAAGCCACTGCGATTTCATTAGCAATGAGGTAGCTAGCTTTCACTGCAGCGTCACTGATGTCTCGGCTGTGAGTAAACACAGACTGCTGTTTCTTCAGACCCGCCAACAGTTCATTCACCTTCTCTCATCTCCGCTGTCCTTGAAAGTTGTCATATTTGTCGGCATGAAGACTCACATAGTGACGACGAAGGTTATATTCTTTCAGCACTGCAACATGCTCTGAACACACCAAACATACAGCTTTCCCATTCAATTCCGTGATTAAATAGGATGACCATTTTTCTTGGAACACTCTGCACTCTGTGTCCACTTTTCTCTTTTTTGACAGAGACATATTGGGGCAATGAGGGTGCCAAAGCACATAATGTTAAAAGTAGAAGCCGTAATAAATATCGCGGGCAAAACAAAGTAGCTCATTGGCTGCACGTGCTTGACCTACTTGCTCTGCCCCGGTATAAACAGTTTGCTGTGCTACAATGTGGATGGGTAGGCTACTTGTGGAGTGAACTGTACTGGCCTGGCCTCACAGGTCATGTCGGGTCTATGCTTAATTTTTGCCTTCCAGTTTATAGAATGAAAAGTGGCAGGACTTTGTGATAAGTGTAGGGCTTTTTGAAAGAACTAAGTTAGTGTGTATTGACTTCTAGTTAAGCTTGCTAGGATACATTTATTGGACTCTGCCGCCATCTACTGTGTGACTGGTGTCTTGCTCAGAAGCACGAGAGGCTTCCACGTCATCTTTACTGGCGTTGTTTTGTTTAGAAATAGACCAGGAAATTGCGTTTTTGTCAACTCACGAAGCATGGAAAAGTAGCTAGTTGGAGCTGTGGTGACATTGAAACGCAGAATTAGAGGACTATAGTCAGAAATGGATGACGATGTTACCATTGAGGACGAGGGTGGACCAGAAATACAGAATACACCCCTTGAAAACCAGGATTTAAGTTTCCTGCAACAAACTGGTAAATTCGCTAGCTAATATCAGCTGCACATCTGTCAGTTTTCTGGCTTGTTTACCAAGCCTAGCTGGCCTGGCAAGATATCCTTCAAATACTAAAGCTAATAATGCAGCTAGCTAGCTAACGTTGTAGCAGTGGTTGTAGCTTAGCTAGTGTAGGCTAAGATAGCTAGCTACAGTAGCTAGCTAGCAAAATAACTAAATGCAGAGACACATCATTCATTGACAGGGCTGCCAACTTTCGAAGAATGCTTGGAGTGAGATTTGCTATGTGAATTTCATTTCCCCCTGGCACACCCCTAGATGGGAGAACCATTTTACTGTTTTAAATGTCCTACAATTCTACGTATTTTGACATGGCTTAGGCCTATGACCAACATTTTTAAAAAATAAAAAATAAAACACAGGTCAGGTGTATTCAGGATGCTTTGAAAATTGAATGAACACTCAAAATCTGATGACTTTGTTACTTTGAGATTTTGGGGGGCTGACATTTAAATTATGCTAATATTTTAAACACATTTTTTAGGTGGTTTGACACTATTCAGACAGTAATGAAATGAGATGGGGAGACAGGCAAATGTGAGAAATAGTGGGGAGGTTGGAAGCAGGGATTGATCCCTGTTCTCAGGTGGAAAGTATGCAACACCTTCCGCAACACCAAGGCTCTGCACAGGAAATTCTAATATTAATATTAATGGTTAATAGCAGTGGGTAACCAAATCATAGATTGCAGTCTCCTTGTCCATAGACTGCTTTCAAGGTAAGGACACAAACATTTTAGTATTTTGTAATTTGGGTGAAAATCTCTTTAAATAGGGCTGGAAGAAAATCCTGCTTGCTCTCCAGGAGGGTTGACAGTCCATGTGCTTATGGATAATTCATATTTCCTTTCATCTCGGGCAAGGTCAAACAAGAGGAAATTAATAGTTTGATCATTTTTCAAGTTGCTCTGTTTCCTAAGTGCTGGGTGTTTGAAAATGTTCTTGCTATAATAATTAATTTCTCAATCACCCAACCTTCAAGAAAAATCTAATAATTATCAATATTCAGGTGGTTTATGCCTACTAGTTGAAGGTTCTTGCCATCAACTTACTCTACATAGACAAAATATGATGCGTTTGTGAGTTGAGTCCCCCTACCATATGTGCACAATACTAAAATGTCAAAATTATTTGATTCCTGGAGCATTTCATATCCAATGCTTTTTTTGTGTGACCTATACAAAACTGTCCATGAATGGCTGCAAAAATACACAGACTCGTACAATTCATTTTTAAAGACACAAGTAGGCATATCAGATTTCCAATATGTGATTCCACTGGCAACACTGGGAAATGGAATAATACAATATTGTAAGTGTGGGGAATAACAGTAGTGTACTTGCTGACATGCACATTCATTACCCTGTATTTTAGCCCAATGTTAAGAATGAAAATTATTCCTCTGATCAGACTAAATAAAGTAAATAAATAATCACATCTCCTGAAGACAAGATTACATGAATCTGTCCCTACACCCTAATAAAATACATTTTCTATTTATTGTCCCCCCTCTAGACAGACTTGGGTTCACAATCTGTTCGACACATTTATTTGTATAGTTACACATCAGGTCACCCTACCAAACGTCCCTGCTAAAACATACTGTAGGTCTGTCTGCTGCCTTTTCGTTGTCACCACCTAAATTAACCCGATTTAACATCTCTAGAGAGACCTGAAAATAGCTGTGCAGCGACGCTCCCCGTCCAACTTGACAGAGCTTGAGAGGATCTGCAGAGAAGAATGGGAGAAACTCCCCAAATACAGGTGTGCCAAGCTTGTAGTGTCATACCCAAGAAGACTCAAGGCTGTAATCGCTATCAAAGGTGCTTCAACAAAGTAATGAGTAAAGGGTCTGAATACTTATGTAAATGTCATATTTCCGGGGTTTTTTATTTATAAATTGGCAAAAATTTCTAAACCTGTTTTTGCTTTATCATTATGGGGTTTTGTGTATAGATTGATGAGGGGGAAAAAACAATGTAATCCATTTTAGAATAAGGCTATAACGAAACAAATATCGAGTCAAGGGGTCTGAATACTTTCCAAATGCACTGTACTCAGGGCCAGTTCTAGCCTTTTGAGGGCCCTAAGCAAGATTTTGTTGGGGGGCCGCCCACCTCACATCAAAACATTTTAGTGGCCCACCTCTTGACAGTGGAGAGAAAAATACAATGTTTAAAGTAAATCTCCTGCAATTCTGCACATTTTGCCAAGGGGTGTAGAGAAAATGTTGCCGTTTAACAGCAAATTTTCTGCAATTCTACACTTTTCCATGTGGGGGAGAGAACTTTGCAATTTTACAATAAAATTAATGCAGTTCTACTCATTTTGCCATGGGACAGATCAACATCTTTGCAGTTTTAAGGCAATTTCCTGCAATTATACACATTTTGTAATGAATTATGCCATGTTCATATTATATGAGTTTGAATGACTAACAAAATCCATCTGGGCCCCCTGGAGGTCAGGGCCCCTGGGCAGGTGCCCTGCGTGCCCTGTTGGTATGCGGACATGATTACTACTCGTTTAGATAGTTTAGGCTAACTACAAATCTGAAAATTGTTAGCTGACGTGGCTAAAAGAGAAAAGCTGCTGATGCACAACGGAATTTTGAAATTGCACCTGATGTATTCTACTATTCTTACACTCAATAGTAAGTTGAGACCCTGTCTGAGTTCCAGGGGCCCTAAGCAGCCAGGGGCCCTAAGCAGCCGCTTATGACACTTAAGCCTGGAACCGGCCCTAAAAATACTATCAGTAACCCATAATTTCTCTTCCTGTCCACAGTCGGACCATTGGTGGCAGAATATGGATGGTATCTGCTGTTCATGTGTGTGGGGGTCTACCTGGTGGTACAGCACCTGAGCAAGAGGAGAGGCAGCCAGGGACAGAGCAGCTCGCCTTCTGGAGCGGTGCAAGGTGAGTGGCTGTAACCAATCGTTTTTTATTTATTTAACCAAGGAAGTCACTTTGAGATTGCAAGTACATTTAGTCACACACACATACATAGATACATACACCCGCAGACAGACACGCATGCACGCACACGCACCTAGGACATGAGCATTCTTGCTGCAGCTACAACAATGCCACTTATTCTCAAAACGATGACAAGCTTGCTAAAGCAGAAACCAACTGGCACTCACAGGCTAGAGCCGGCTCCCATTCCAACAAGGTGACTGACACATCAGGAACGGAATCTCGGAATGCAATGGAATTTATGGAGTCAGTAATATCATCCAATCTTTTTAATTTTTTTCTGGCAGATCCCAATGCAGTGGTGAGGAGACAAGAGGCACTGGAGGCATCCAGGCGAAGAATGCAGGAGGAGCTGGATGCCAAGGCGGCCGTCTTCAAGCTGAAACAACAACAGGTAAAAGGTGACACCTTTCACATAGATGGACCATACATAGACGGACAATAGATGGACCATAGACGGAAAATAGATGGACCATACATAGACGGACCATAGACGGACCATACATAGACGGACCATAGATAGACCATGGCTTCTTAGCAAAGAGCAATTTCTCAATCAAGAATTTTGCTAGGACTGTCTGGGAGTGGTCTGAGTTGGGAGGGGAAAACTGAAAACGATCTGTAATTGGCAGAGAGGTTTGGAGCTCTTAATTATTGGTCTATTAACTAATTTAATTTAAAGCCAAAACTCCATCCCACCAAAACGGGCAGAAATTTCAGGCGGTCTTTTCAAACAGCTCTTACAATAAAAGGCCATTATCATCGTTTTCACAATTTCACAGTATTTTTCCAACCTCATAGTGTGGAAATATACACTACTGGTCAAAAGTTTTAGAACACCTACTCATTTAAGGGTTTTTCACACAGTCTCCTCTGAACAGTTGATGTTGAGATGTGTCTGTTACTTGAACTCTGTGAAGCATTTATTTGGGCTGCAATTTCTAATGAACTTATCGTCTGCAGCAGAGGTAACTCTGGGTCTACCATTCCTGTGGCGGTCCTCATGAGAGCCAGTTTCATCATAGCGCTTGATGTTTTTTGCGACTGCACTTGAAGAAACTTTAAAAGTTCTTGACATTTTCCGGATTGACTGACCTTCATGTCTTAATGTAATGATGGACTGTCATTTCTCTTTGCTTATTTGAGCTGTTCTTGCCATAATATGGACCTGGTCCTTTACCCCCCCACCTTGTCACAATACAACTGATTAGCTCAAATGCATTAAGACGGAAAGAAATTCCACAAATTAACTTTAAGGAAGGCACACCTGTTAATTGAAATGCATTCCAGGTGACTACCTCATGAAGCTGGTTGAGAGAATGTCAAGAGTGTGCAAAGCTGTCATCAAGGCAAAGGGTGGCTATTTGAAGAATCTTAAATATAAAATATATTTGGATTTGTTTAACACTTTTTTGGTTACTACATGATTCCGTATGTGTTATTTCATAGTTTTGATGTCTTCACTATTATTTTACAATGTAGAAAATAGTAAAAATAAAGAAAAACCCTTGAATGAGTAGGTGTTCTAAAACCTTTGACCGGTAGTGTATATGTAAAACACAGGTAAGTCAAGTTTTTGACTGCACTGGGCCTTTAACACAGATCTGAAACCCCAGGCACCACAAACCAGTTTGCCCATTGTCCCTGCCAAATCTGATGTTGAAGACTTTTGGTACTTGTCTTTTGTTTACTGTGTGATAGCTGGAGGAGGAGAAGAGACGACAAAAAATTGAGATGTATGACAGCATGAAAGAGGGGAGGAGTTACAGAGGACAGGCAAAGACAGTCCAGGTAAGCTGCGTTCTCTATCGTAGGCCTAAATAACATACATTACATAACTTATGCCATTTAGCAGACGCTTTCATCCAAAGTGACTCGTAGTCATGCCTGCATACATTTTACATATTGGTGGGCCTGGGAATCGAACAAACAACCCTGGCATTGCAAGCGCCATGCTCTACCAACGGAGCCATACAGGACCACCCATAAGTAAATGCAGCATTTGATAGATATTATGGCCAAGCCAGGAGTTTTTCATGGTCAGGACACGGGGTCTGACCATGTCCATCCTGACCATGAAGAAACTCCTGTCTCAGACATATTTCTCAGAAGTCGCAGATTTGTTAATGGGTTTCATGTAAGCACTTTGAGGTTTCTTGTCTGTAAATGAAAATAGCTCAATATAATTATTGTTGTTATTATGATGTAACATTTCAGAACACTGAAGAGGTCAGCACATCGACTACAGTGTTGAAATCAAAGACCGACAAGAAGCCCCTACGGAGCAGTGGTATGTTGACATATTTCATGATGAGAGCAGTATTGTAATTGGTTAATTACTCACATCTCTATTCATGTGAAAATGTAAGACATCATGCTCACTCTTAAAGTAATCAATCAGTAATTAAACAGGTTCTGAATCCTACTAGATCCATTTATGCATCCATGCAATGATGAGCAACTTTCATGTTCATGCATGTAAGGCACTGATCTTGCTGTCGATAAGAAGCACTGTGATTCTTACTGAAACCGTTTCAAAGGTTATACATGTCACATTTCCACCTACAAATAGAAAGTACACACCAGTAGTAATGAAGGAATGAAATCCACAAAAGAAAAAAACCCATTTTTGAACACTGCGCAATGCTGCAAAGTAGCTTTGTACTGCAACTAGCTGGTCTTGCCAGTTGTGTGTACAACTTTCTGTATTACGATACAGGAAAACAGCTAATATTGCTCATGTTTTATATTTCAAAAACATATATATTTTTTTATCCTTTATTTAACCAGGCAAGTCAGTTAAGAACAAATTCTTATTTACAATGACTGCCTACCCCGGCCAAACCCGAATGATCTGGTATGAAGCAGTGCTAAGCTTTTGGGGGGATTTCTAAGCAGTGTCTTTAAAGAGAAAATGGCTAAAATGTGACATGTTACTCATTTAAGGATTAAGTAGTAGGTAGGTGACGCTGGCGTCCTCCATCTCCTCTCTGTGCCAGTAGCCTACATTCTGCCCTGCTGTCTGTATTTCAGGCTTTAATCCCCTGAGCGGAGAGGGAGGTGGATCCTGTGCGTGGAGACCAGGAAGGAGAGGGCCGTCGGCTGGCGGTGGATGAGGTTAAAGGAGGTCAGAGCCACAGGCTCGGGTTAGACCTCGCCCCCTTAACCCCGGATCTAGGATCAGATTACCCTACCGTCATTCCTAACCTGAACTTTTCAGGGGATGGAAGACATATCTGACCCTGTATCTGTGGCTAGGGGTGACTTGTGCCTACTCTGAGGTGACCTGTGAACTCTGACCCCTGATCTTTGACCCCTGACCCGACCCGTCATAGGCACACACACTGACCTACTGAAGGAAGCTGCCAGCAATCTCAAAGCCCTCTTAGTTATTGATCTAAATCAATATGTTGTTCTTCTCAAAGCCCTCTTAGTTATTGATCTAAATATATCTGTTGTTTGGGTTTCAGAATTGGTAAAAAAGAAAAAAATGATTCAACTGGTTTCGCTACTGTGTATGTTTTAGATCATGTTGCCTCAGTAATATTAGCATTGTCCAAAATACAATGTGTTGCCACATGATAAAAATGAATCCTTTCTGTTTTAATGAATTTGGACAACTTCAAACTAACCAGTGTTGAAAACAATTGTCTTGTTTCCACTTTCAAATTTTGGCTTATTGAATCATCTTATTTAAGAACACATGAGAAGGCCTTCTGAGAAGGACAGTTTCTAATGATGCTATTCCTGTAAATGGCACCTGTGCCAGTGGGTTTGGCTGATGACTTTCAGAGTAACAGTGTGTATATGTTTTTTTATTTTATTTTGTATTTTGTGCCGTCTAACAAGGCTTCATGTTGCGAGAGTAGATGCTAGCCAGATGGCTTTAGTACTGCTGTGTACCGTACTGCTTGTTATACTATTACATAAATCAGATGTAACCGTAGTCATCGTGTTATGTATTGGAAGATCAATCATCAAACAATTTTAGTTATTGAAATTCTGACAATAGCTCTTTTCTGCCCCAAATATATTGGGGGTCAAGAAATAAACTGAACTGCACCATTTTTATCACAATAAAGATATTATAGATAAGTTGTCTTTGTATCTGTGATGTTTGATGGGGAGGCTGAGTATGTGACGACACACAATGGCTAATTTAATGGTCCAGTGACAATAATTATACACCTGCCATCTCCGTGTTGTCCACCAGATGGAGGCAGTGTAATGTAAATGAAGCCACAATCATAACGGTATGGGCACAGAGTTTCTAAACTGTCTTGGGTATGGGTAAGATCGCACTGATTTCAATTATTGTTGTAGTCTTGCTCTTAAATTGATATGCATTTTATACAATCATTATAAACCTTATGTTCATTTTCTGCACACCATTTCCATTAAGTGAGTTATAGAGCATTATGTAGTTGGCCTAGTCCATTATGATTTCTCATAAATTGCTTTTTCATTTCACTATCAGTGCCGCATATTAATTCGGCTGCCGTTTAATTTCAAGGTTCAACAATGCTTGATCTGTACTTTTCTGTCTGCATGCATGGCCTCTCACTTTCACCAGCTCATCACTCCGGGGAACTCAGCTTGTGATCAGACTTGTGCGTCAAATACTGGAAGGAAAAAAAGATGAGACCACTGCGTAATCACACACCACAGCCAGTCAGAGCTTTCCTACGGGGTATCTACTAGGTCAAATCACACAGTTAAGCCGCGACGCTACTAAGCGTTTTCGACATTCTCACAATGGCGAGGTAGTGGAAAGAATGGGTTGGCTACGCGTCTCGGGGCGAAGAAGAAACCATACATTTAGTTGAAGGTCGTTTATTGATAGCGACGGAATGCTTGCTGATTAGAAGGGCCACATGAAGAGAGGAGTGTATGTTCAGGTGGTGGGTTTATGGAGACTGCTACGTATGCAGCAGCCAGCTTACAACGGGAGCAAAAGCGGGTTGGAGGAGAAAGAGGCTTCCTACCATGAGAGCGAGTTAACCCCGTTTTTATGAGGAGGGAGAAACAATTTAACCGATATTGCTTTACAAAGACGCTGTGTTGGCAACAGCGAGAATAGGCTACGAGGCAAATCAGAGTTGGGTCAAGTTTTGGGGAATGGCAGGTCGAAGCCGAAGAGCATGGTTTAGTGTTCTGTTGGGGCTGGTTGTCGGGTTCACCCTGGCTTCCAGACTCATATTGCCGAAGGCTACGGAGTTGAAGAAATCCGGTCAGAAACGCAAGGCGAACCCAGCCGGTTGCGGGTTGAACGGGGGTTTGAGGGGAGAATACGGTGGGGTATTGTGGCCCCCGCAAGATAACGGATTTTCGGCGACGGAGAAGCCAGTTCCGAGGTCCAACAATTTCCTTTACGTCGGCGTCATGACCGCCCAGAAGTACCTGAATAACCGCGCCATCGCGGCACATAGGTATGTGTAGAAAAGGAAGGAATGTTGATTTTTTCTTTTTAACAAGCTACCATTTTAAGCTATTAGTTTTTTCTGTCTCAGGGTTTCTGTACACGTCAGTTCTGCTCATTCCGCTCCCAGTTCTGCTCATTCCGCTCCCCATTCAACAATGTTGCCTACTCTCTGCGAGTTGCTTCAGTCTTCTGCAAAATTGTTACAAATGTAATCGATACAAATGTTGCTTGTCACCCTTTAACAGAGTGTCGATGCCATGTGTGCCTGCGGTATCTCTATTATGATATTCCTTTTTCTTGTAAGCTATTAATCACCTCAACGTTAGGCAGGTCATGTGCTATCAGCTGTAAAGACAAAACCTTTTTGGATATACTGTTATAGATTATATACAGTCACTACAACTTGTCGTAAGTGAAATGCAGAAGTCTTTGTTACAGGGCCTATGTTATAACATGCTCTCAACATTCACACCCACATTTACCCTACAAAGATCATACTTCAGTAGGCCAAATGTAATGTTCAGTTTTCCACGCCTTTGCCAACTCTAAACACAATCGCTTCACAATTGAGCTGTACCATTCTGTAGTGTTGGTTTTGCCTTCAGATGAGCTGCATAGGCTCTTTGGTAGGCTAGTTTAGTTCCATTGAGTAATCTTGGATGGAGCCATTGCGATCTCCAATTGTGAGGGGTTTCTGTCAGTGTTTCGTTGTAGACTAGCAGTGATGCTATTAGGATAGCTCTAAATGTAGAGATGTCTTGTTGGAAAGAGTTAATATCATTAGCCCTGAAATGTCTTTCATCTAGGCCCCACTGAAATGCTGTGAATGTGAAGCTGAAGGTTTTATGAAATTAGGGGTTGGACGGAGAAGAAAGCCTGCAGACTCAACAGGGATATCTTTTCATGGGTCCAGTCATGTGGAAGATTGAATATAATTAAGGGGAAATGTGCTTGCACATCTGCAAAGACATACAAGGATATCTGTATTCAATCAGATTCATTAGTAGAGTAGTTTATTTAGTCTCCCTCGAATGTCCTTTCAATGGACCAATCAGGATGAACGTCTAGAGATAGTCCTGAGAAGGAGATATCTAACACTGTATTTTACATCCACCCACATGTCTTTATTTTGGGCCCAAAGTAAAGTCCCATTTAGTTTATTTTCAGTGCAGATCGTGGAAAGCAGGCCTGCTTTTTAGTCTCAGTTGTTAGTTAATTACTAGATCCCCATTCAAACACAGTTCTTTATCCTAATAAAACATTACTGGTGCTCAGTTGGGTATTTAGTGGGCTCAAGTCTGTCTGTGAACCTCTTGTAAATACATATTAGTACCCAAGTTATGCCCTGCTATTACATGTCGCTCATCTCTTTTATTTTACATTTTAGTCATTTATTAGACGCTGTTACAGTAGTGAGTATATACATTTTCGTACTGGTCCCCCGTGGGAAACGAACCCACAACCCTGGCGTTGCAAGCGCCATGCTCTACCAACTGAGCCACATGGGACTGTCTATCTATGTCCTCCGTGGGCCCAGATATGTGTGTATGTGTTAGAACTCTACCCCTGCTCTCCATCCTATCGAGTACCTGACCTCTGCCGCCCTCTGCCCGTGTCTCTCTCTATTTAGAACGTGGGCTCAGACCATCCCGGGCCATGTGGAGTTCTTCTCCAGCGAGGGCTCGGACACCACCATCCCCATCCCCATCGTGGCTCTGCGCAACGTGGACGACTCGTACCCGCCGCAGAAGAAGTCCTTCATGATGCTCAAGTACATGCACGACCACTACCTGGACCAATACGAGTGGTTCATGCGGGCCGACGATGATGTGTACATCAAGAGCGAGCGTCTGGAGAGCTTCCTGCGCTCTCTCAACAGCAGCGAGGCCCTCTTCCTGGGCCAGACGGGCATGGGCGCCCGCGACGAGCTGGGCAAGCTGGCGCTGGAGCCCGGCGAGAACTTCTGCATGGGCGGCCCCGGCGTGATCATGAGCCGCGAGGTGCTGCGCAGGATGGTGCCCCACATCGGCCAGTGTCTGCAGGAGATGTACACCACGCACGAGGACGTTGAGGTGGGCCGCTGTGTGCGGAGGTTTGCCGGCGTGCAGTGCGTCTGGTCCTACGAGGTAAGAGCAAAGATGGCGGCTGGTCGTATTGTATACTGCAGTTAGTAGATCTATCACTCCTTTTGAAAGTTAATTTTTTAATTGGTGTCATACAAGAGAAGGCTGGGTAGAAAACCATCTGAGATTGAGGGTTTAGTCGGTAGAAGTGTCCTTCAATGTAGTGCGCCTGAAGTGTACTACAACGTGAGAAGGGGAATCGCCAACAAGATGCCTGCCTTGACTTAACGTACTCTGTGAAGCAGAAGAGATCATGAACTGGAGTGGATTGCCTACACACCACAGTAGAGCCAAAGGCAGAAGTTGATACTCAGTAGATCTGGCTCCTTCAGTAGGCACTCCTTCTCTCCTGGCAGATTTAATATTCAGAGCTTATTAATGTGACGAAATGATTGCTCGACAGAGCAAAGAAAGGAGCAATTCCATGAAATTATGCTGAGACCAGGGCTCTAAAGGGTGACCATTTTGGTCGCATATGCTCCTACTGTAAATATTTTTCTGTGCGACCTGATATTTTATTTTGGGAGCACCAGTGCACCTAGGAAAAAAATCACCCAGATAATAATTGTTGTAATGATTAGGCTTCGATGTACTGTCGTTCCCGAGTGACCTAGAGAAAAAACCAAGCACATATTCGCTACTGTCATGGCTGCACCATCATTACAACAGAGAAAACTGACTGTTTCAAGCACAAACAGGTAAAAAGATATGACCCATACTACTGCCGCAATATTTGTTTCTTCCCATCATGGATTGGCGGGCTGCATTTTACATTCATAAACCATGAACGTTTACACCTTGTTCGGGCATTTGTTTACACCTTGTTTAGTCATGTTACTTCATTATCTAGCTAGCTAACAACCTGCTTGCTTTACCATTACATCCACTAAACATTTGGACGCACAGAAAGAAAGGAAAAGCGATAGCTTCTTCAGGAGATCAAGGATCACACCAATGAATGAATGATCTCTTGCATGTCGTCACTCACAAACTTGACGCTCTTAAAGAGACCCTGTACAATTTCAATGTTATGCATCTCAGTAGGTACACAATGTAGAAACCTAATATTTCAATGACAGGTTTCTGTTTCAACATTTTATCTTTTTATAATAAACAAATTTCTTTACATAGTTAAATATTAGTATCTATGGCACAACGTGCTTCAAAGTAGCTGGAATTCACATAGACTATATCTCAATCAATAACAAAATCTTATTTTCTGGTGCTCCTAAATTTTATGTTGTGCTCAGGGCTCTAACTAAATAAAAACATGTCATTGGTAGCCCTGGTGCGCCCAACTTTAAAAAATTAAGAGCACCACATGAAATTTAGGAGCACCAGAAAATCAGATTGTTTTAATTGATTGGGATACAGCCTATATTGGGCCTATATTAATTCTAGCTTCTTTTGAAGCACATGTTGTGCCCTAAAAAATAATACATTGGTCACACTTTAGAGCCCTGGTTGTGCTCCTTATGTGTTTAAGTTGGGAGCACCAATGCTAGTAATGTAAAATGTATTTAGAGCCCTGACTGAAATGTATGCCAAACAATAGTTTATTTCCGCTTATACTGCAATCAAAATTCTTCGTTTCAGACTTTTGCTTTCTAATGTGCATTGTTCTAAAATCCACCCAGTTTAACAAGGTTTTGCAGCCGTAATTTGGGGTATCTGAAATGATGGGTTGCAGTTTGGCAAAAGCGGTCTGTTTTCTGACTGACAGCCTTTGTTACTGTGTTCTTCTCCCAAGAGCTGTGGAACCTTTGTACTGCTGTCCTCCTCACAGGCAGTAGACAGAGATTAGAGAGGGAACTGTGTCAGACTCTTCATTCAACTGGCGATTAATTCATGTATTTATTTATTAGGCACACTTCATCTGACGTGTGTGTGAGCTTACGCCCCGGCGCCCCGCTGGTCCATTGATATCAAGGTTATGACCCAGAGTCACTTTGGCCTCTGTGAGTGTGTGTATATATTGACCAGTTTGCAAACCATAACAATACGCTTTCTGTTTGCGGTTGTCCACTGGGTTCCTTTGCAAACTACCAGAAACAGTATGTTGTGTACTAGGCTGGGCACCCACCCACCATAAGGTTGAATTTGCAGCCTTCACTTCAGTTAGTCATTTAGCCATAAATTAAGTCAAGGGTTCCATAGTCACGGTTGAGACACGCAGCTAAACGCACATTTCCCCCATCCAAATAAATCTGCATATAATATCACGCCTGTGAACAAATTGGTAAAACGCAGCATCTGTTCAGTTTTTAAAGCTGCCAATGAATCTGGTTTGGCAGGTGGAATGAGACAGAACTGACATGTCTGCTGTCTCATACAGAGTTCAGCCCCAGCCACTGTTACATCAGGCCTGGGGTAACTTTTAAACAGCCATTTGATGAGTTTTAATTACGGCTTATCGTTATCTAGTTAGAGAGCGGAGCCAAGCAACTGCATCATTCATGTCAGTGAGAATATGTGTGTGTGTGTGTGTGTGTCTGTCTGTCTGTCCTCTTCCTCCCACGTGTGTGTGTCTGTCTGTCTGTCCCTCCAGACAATTTCCTCATTTTGATGATTTAGTACATTGGTAGGAAAAGGAACACTTGCTGACATCACAGTGGAGGACTTTACTACTAAAATATGGATAAAAGGTTGCTAATGGGGATTTATTCCTTCAATAAGAGGCAGTTGTTTGGTCAGCCAAGCCATCGTCAGTGTGTTTCGTGGGAGCTTTTGAATGAATGTCTGTACATTAGTCTGTTTTATGTGGTGTGACCCAAACCAATGCTTATTATTCAGTCCAGTCTTAGATGTGAGACACACACACAAACAGCCTCTCTTTGTGGCACTGCTAATAAAACAAATCCCACTACTTAGTCATGGTGATCAAACCTCTTCTTGTTTATTTTGGTCACTGGGAGGGATGGACGGGAGGGAGGGATGGACGGGAGGGATGGACGGGAGGGATGGACGGGAGGGATGGACGGGAGGGAGGGACGGGAGGGAGGGACGGACGGGAGGGAGGGATGGATGGACGGGAGGGAGGGACGGTGGGAGGGACGGTGGGAGGGAGGGAGGGGGTGGATGGACGGACGGGAGGGAGGGAGGGAGGGGTGGACGGTTGGGAGGGAGGGATGGACAGGACAGGAGGGACGGTTGGAGGGAGGGAGGGAGGGAGGGGTGGACGGTTGGGAGGGAGGGATGGACAGGAGGGACGGGAGGGACGGTGGGAGGGAGGGAGGGGTGGATGGACGGACGGGAGAGGGAGGGGTGGATGGGAGGGAGGGGTGGACGGACGGGAGAGGGAGGGGTGGACGGACGGGAGGGGTGGACGGACGGACGGGAGAGGGAGGGGTGGACGGACGGGAGGGGTGGACGGACGGACGGGAGAGGGAGGGGTGGACGGACGGGAGAGAGGGAGGGGTGGACGGGGAGGGAGGGGTGGAGGGAGGGAGGGAGGGGTGGACAGATGGATGCAAATAATCACAGGGGCTCATCATAGTGAATTATGGTCCTGAGTCATGTGATTGTGTCTGTATTCCCTGACCAAAGAAACATCTCTGGTTTCCTCAGTAATGCCTGCCTGTGGAGTCAGTTGCTATGGTAGCTGTGCATCTATGTCTCCCTTCACTACGAGCGAGTCAGTGTTGTTGAGAGTCCATTATCCAAATGGAGTTTTCGAAGAGCCCTCTCCAGTGCTTCAGAAAGAGCAGCAGAACAGCCGTCACTGGGCTTTGAGTCTATGGATCCTCTATCACAGCCACAGAACCCAGCGGTTTCTATCAGACTAGCTGTTATCATACACTACATGTCCAGTGGTGGCTGTTCGGCGAACATCTAATTCCAAAATCATGGGCATTAATATGGAGTTGGTCCCCCATTTGCTGCTATAACATCCTCCACTCTTTTGGGAAGGCTTTCCACTAGATGTTGGAACATTGCTGCGGGGACTTGCTTTCATTTAGCCACAAGCATTAGTGAGGTCGGGAACGGATGTTGGGCGATTAGGCCTGGCTCGCAGTCGGCGTTCCAATTTATCCCAAAGGTGTTCGATGGGGTTGAGGTCAGGGCTCTGTGCAGGCCAGTCAAGTTCTTCCACACCAATTTCAAAAAAACATTTCTGTATGAACCTTGCTTTGTGCATGGGGGCATTTTCATGCTTTAATAGGAAAGTGCCTTCCCCAAACTGTTGCCACAAAGTTGGAAGCACAGAATCGTCTAGAATGTCATTGCTGTAGCATTAAGATTTCCCTTCAATGGAACTAAGGGGCCTAGCTTAGGGCTGTTGGGGTGACCGTATTACCGCCAAACCGGCGGTCACAAGTCATGAAGGCAGTCAAAGTCACGGTAATTAGGCTTCTCCAAGCTCTGATGCTGCTGCTGGTCATTAGTAGCAAAAAACAAAGCAGAGCTCATGCCTATCAATCGACTTTTTTCAAATCATCATTAGTCGCATCATGCAGCCTTACAATGTATTCAAGCTCTAAACATATAGCCCAACGTTTGTAGAACAACTAAAGTTACATTAATAACTCTAAATTAAGCATATAGGAGTACCTATTTCTTTGTTAACCGCTCAACACAGAATAGCCGCATGTGCGCACTCACTCAAATCGTTTGGAGAAAATATCCTTTCTATTTTATTCAGCTTTGTTCAATTGTATTCTTCATACTATGAAGTAATGCCACAGAATTCTAAGCAAATCTTGTCTGCTAAATGAACTAGTGTAGCCCACAGCCATTTGGGATGGCCAGATCAGGACCTAACATAAGGTCAATTCAGAGTATGCTATTTTGTTCTTCTGAAATAGACGACATTTTCTTCATATCATTCTTCTTTAGACCTGTCTAAAATAAATAATGGATTTATTGTGAAGGTGTAGGCTATTTTATATGGATTTATTAGACTTTTTAAAATGTAGATGTTCCAAAGGTCTGCATCAGTGGCTTGTAGGCTATGTGTATTTATGTTAATTAACGGTAAATTACCGTGAGACCCACAGTTATTTGCTTGACAATCACCGGCTGTCGAAATTTTGTGACCGCCACTGCCC